CGAAGGCCCCAGTGCCACCGCTCGCATTCGTCCCGCACACCCATTTCGGCACCTCCACCAAACACAGCGTTTCGTGGCCCCACAGGGACCTCCACCGAAGGCCCCAGTGGTGCCGCCCGCATGCGTCACCCCCACCCCAGCACAGCATTTCGTGGCCCCACAGGGAGCTCCACCTAAGGCCCCAGTGGTGCCGCCCGTATGCGCCACCCCCACCCAGCACAGCGTTCCGTGGCCCCACAGGGAGCTCCACCGACGGCCCCAGTGGTGCCGCCCGCATGCGTCACCCCCGCCCAGTACAGCGTTTCGTGGCCCCACAGGGACCTCCACCTAAGGCCCCAGTGGTGCCGCCCGCATGCGCCACCCCCACCCAGCACAGCGTTTCGTGGCCCCACAGGGAGCTCCACCGAAAGCGGCACCCGCAATGCGATATTCACAACTGCACATGGTTGGGTCCTTCGCCAGGATAATTTTACGATATTCACATCTTCGGTGTCGACCGCCTCGAAGACAGCCCCAGGAGCCCACAACATCGCCCCAAGACGGCCAAGAGGATCCCTCGACTATCCAGGAGGCCCCCAAGACGGTCCCCGAGGGCACCGGGGGGCCTCTGGGGCCCCCCCGAGACAGCCCCAGACAGCCCCGAAACGCCACCCGAGAGTCCCAGGAGGTCTCCAAGCGTCCACGAGGGCCCAGAAGCCCCGAACTGTCGCTCCAAGACGCCGAAGATGGCTCCAAGACGGCCTCCGGGAACCCCCACGACAGCCCAAGAGTCCCCCAAGAGGACTCCCAAGAGCGCCTCCAGAAGCAAAAATTGCCCCATTCCCTCCGGAAAACGTGCATTTTTACGATATTCACATCTTCGGCGTCGACCGCGTCGAAGACGGCCCAAGGAGCCGACAAGAACGCCCCAAGACGGCCAGAGAGAGTTCCCAGAGGCCTGCAAGACAGCTCAAGAGGTGCCCTCGATTGTCCAGGGGGCCCCCAAGACGGTCCCAGAAGGCCCTGGGGGGCCTCTGGGGCTCCCCCGAGACAGCCCCAGACAGCCCCGAAACGCCACCCGAGGGTCCCAGGAGGTCTCCAAACGTCCACACGCCGACGACAGCTCCAAGACGGCCTCTGGGAGCTCCCACGACGGCCCAAGCGTCCCCCAAGAGGACTCCCAAGAGCGCCTCCAGAGCAAAAATGGCACCATTCCCTTCGGAAAAAGTACGTTTTTACGATATTCACATCTTCGGCGTCGACCGCGTCGAAGACGGCCCCAAGAGCCGACCAGATCGTCCCAAGACGGCCGAAGAGAGTTCCAAGAGGCCTCCAATCCAAGACGGCTCAAGAGGGGCCCTCGATTGTCCAGGGGGCTCCAAAGACGGTCCCAGAGGGCCCCCGGACAGCTTCCCGAAACAGCCCCGAGGGGTACCCCACCCGACATTTCGAGCCACCCTCCCCAAAAAGCGCCCAGGAGACCCCAAGAAACATTGAAGAGCCCCCGGCAAAAAAAACCCAAGCGGGCCCCTCGGGGCCGCCAGGAAGCCCCAAGAGGCTCCCAGGAGCCTTCTCCCCCGCGGCTCGCGCGGGACTGCCGGCGGCTGGACTTCAGGTTTCGGAAGCCGCCGCGGACGGGCCCGGGGCCACCGGGCGCGCTGGGCCCCTTGGACCTGTTGGAAAGCAAAACATGTTGTGAAATGATAGGCTGGGATGTTAACGCCCCCCCGATCTACCTAAGTCTGACGTCGTAATTCGTTGCCCGAGGTGCTGGGAAGCAGGAAGTGATGCCCATTCGCAGGGGACATCCCCGATCGGTCCTGTTCCACGGGTTCGGAGGCGGGGCAGGACGAGGGCGGAGCACGGGGGGGCGATCGCCGGGCCTCCTCCAGACGAGTGGGGTCGGGGCCGGCGCCCCCGTCACGGCGCGCTCGTGGGTTTTGCGCCTCGCGCGCGCGTGTCTCGCCGACGTCTGGGCGAACTTGTCCATGGCGCCTGCTCCATCGTTCGGGGCTCGCCCGATGACCTTGATCCTGCGCGTCGACGACCGCCCGGGGTTCAGGCTGCTGGGCCCGGAGGCGAAGGACACTGCGATGGACGAGGGCGCCGTCAAGGGGGCTTTGGGGACGAAAGGTTTGGAGGTGCACCAGGAGGGCCGAGGGCCGGGGATGGCGAAGGGCTTTGACATCGCAGCGCGGGGCCGCCCCTGCACCGCCGCCGTCTTGCCCGACAAGTTGAAGGGGGCTCGCGCTGGCCGCGGAGGCCGCGATCGCGACCGCGGCCGCCTCTCCCGCGAGGTTGGCCTCGCTGCTGGGCGCGCGGGCGCGGGCGCCCATGATCTGTCGATCGGGTCTTCCCATCCTGGGCAGCATCTGCTGCTGGGCCAACGAGAACGCAGAGGACGGGCAGGATGAGGTTCAGCATCGGTCCCCCGTCGGCGCCGTCGGAGCCGGCGGCCGCGGCGAATCTCTCGGCGCATTTTGCATGCCACCCGCGGGCCGACTGGGCGCCGAGGGCACGCGCGGCGGACGCTTCCGGCGTCGGGCGCGGGCGGCCGCGGGGGCCAAGGAGCGCCGGCGGGAGGCGGCGAAGGGGGGCTTCGGGCGTGGACCGTCAGAAGCGACGAGGCCTTCGGGGAGGTCGGGCAATTGGCGGGGCTGGCAGGCGAGGGGGGCGACGCGGACCTGGGGCCGCCGGCCGCGATGCGTGGTTCCCTGGAGCTCCACTCGGTCGTCGAGAGGATCTCGGACGACCTGGCGGCTGCGCGCAACGCCTGGCGCGAGGCGCCCGAGCTGCTGAGAGCGCCCGACGACGAGCTGACTGCGCCGAGCGAGCTGGAGAGGCATTTCGGGTGTATTAGTGGGAAGTGGTGGCGGCGCGTCCAGTTGGCGCCTGCTCGGGCGGGCCCCCTGGGCCCAACGTCCAGCGCGGGAGTTGGCGGTGCTCTGTCATCGCGAGGCCCCGGGCTTTCATTTTCCCCCCGCCCGGGGCTTCGTGGGCCGCGGCGGCGCGCG